TTGCCTAGCCTGTTTGAAGCAAGGATGATGATGGTGATTAGTACCATAAGGTCTGTTATTAATTCTGCAGAGATGGCTTTTTCCGAAGTTCTCATGAAGTTTTTTTCCAAAACAATCATGAAGTTTTTTTCCAAAACAAGATGGGCAATTGATAACATTCTAAACTCGAGTAAATATCCTACTTTTTAATATAAAATTATATAAAAACAAGGTTTAAACAGGTTGCTTTATTATATTCGATGTGTCTTTAGAAACGGCTTTGTAACTTTTTGGTTGCTTTGCGTTTTATAGACCCTGGAACGGTCCTATTTGTTGAAGATCAATGGAAAAGGTGAGACATGAACATGCTTGTATATCCTTAGCTTCAGCCTTTCTGTTTAAGTGCTAACTTAGCTTTTTTAATTTAAGGTTTAATGTATGACTATCCTCCTCAATATTGGTGTACATTTTTTCAATTTTGTTTTTGTGGTGTATCTTTTTTGTTCAAATGCATATCTCAGCTTAATTTTTCAGCTGTGTCCAAAACTTTTGTTTACAGTGGCTGAAAGACCACAGCATATGTTGATGAGGGTATCTGTGGGGATTCACAAAGAAGACATTGATGCCGCTATTGAAACGTACAACCTTCTCTCTGAGAAGTGGTTTACCCATGCCTCTCCCACTCTCTTCAATGCTGGCACCAACCGCCCACAGCTGTCTAGGTATGTGCCATCTATATTGGTGCCTTTTTTTTTTTTTTTAAGGTTTTGGTTAAGGAGAAATAATCCTTGACCTGGGGAAATGAGATAGTTTATCACATAAAAATTAACAATTATTTCATTACTGTCTGCTTTACCTAAAGGAGATATGCATTCTGTAGAGAGGACTAGCTAGCTGCAGTGTGGTAAATGGATGGTAGCAGCAAATGATGAGGATTATCAAAATGTACTCAAACTAATTGTGATAGTTGTAAGATAAGAAAAATAAAAAAAATAAAAGATTGGAAATAAAGGATCAAAAGTAACCACAGAATATGTCATTATTTACATAGAAAATAAAAATGTATGCAGTCATGAGAATCAGAAAGATTTCAGCAATGTTTTTGGTTATAAGATAAATATATATTAACATAATGTATCTGCATTTTAGCTGTTGGAATTCAGTTTTAAAAATGTATCATTGAAAACTACATAATAATAACAAATATTGAGAGGTACTCAGGAATAAATTTAATAATAGATATGTGAGATTTAAGGATAAAATGCTAAAATATGAAGGACATTAAGAAACACTCTGTCCTCACTTATTGACATGGTAAGGTTCCAAAGACCACGTTAAAAATAAACATTACACAAAAGGAGAATGACCACAAAGCAAAGAACGACTACATTATTATAAAAGTGCCAAATTACATCATTGCAAAACTGCCAAACCACTGAGAAGCATGACCCCACCAAACTGACGCATAACCTTACCCGGCACCACCTGCATTAGTCTTGTCATGCACCTCAGTGCTGTTACTGTCACGTATGTTGTTTATACAAAAAATAGTAGGAACAAAGCTCTGCTCCTATTGTAAGACAACTATAAAGCCTTACTAATAAACTAAAGCCCTGGAATGAAGTTGTGTAATGTTTACTCTGAAATAGCCAAGGAAACCATAGCAGTGTCACAGAACCGAGAAAGTGAATTGAAGATATCATGACTTAGTATTTCAACTTACATCTGGATGGAAGAGCACACATGGCATCATGAAGTCTCTATTAACTATAGAGGATTATAAGAAAAGGACACAAAACACAAAAGGACAAGTAAACAATAGAAACAGACGACATAAACAAAAACTTAGAAAAAGAAACGGTTTTCAAGTGTTACTAACCATCATCTTACTATTTTATAGTCATCAACTTGATTAAAATGATACGTGTTGTCAAGAGTGTGGAGGCGAGGAAACAGTCACACATTCCTTGATGGAGTGTACACGTGGTCATCCACTTTGGAGACTTTGATAAAGTGAAACATAAGCATATATTTTGATCTAGCAAGTCCCCGCCTACAGAAACCCTTGGACATGAGTGCAAGCAGATATGTGTTCAGTTTTCACAGCAACATGTGTGGAATGGCAGACAAATCAAAAGTAATCCAAATGGCTATCAAGAGGAAAATGGATAAACACTGGCATTTTTATACCACTAGAATACCTTAAAACCAAAAACCAAACCCACTGCCAATGAGCTATCGGACAGAGTCTACCTGCTTGGAGTTTCTAAGACTCAATCTTTTTTTTTTTTTAATCATTTTATTGGGGCTCATACAACTCTTATCACAATCCATACATACATCAATTATGTAAAGCACACATACATTTGTTGCCCTCATCATTCCCAAAATTTGCTTTCCGCTTGGGTTCCTGGAATCAGCTCCTCATTTTCCTTTTTCCCCTCCCTCTCCCTCCCCACTCCCCCCTCCCTCATGAAC